GGAAAAGAGAGATGGACTCCGTTCAGATAATACTCTCGGAGGTGTAAGCTCTGTAGTTAGTGTAAGTAACTCATTTTATCTGTCTCTGGAGTTCTCCAAGTGACGGTTTCATTAGATATCTTACAACCAGAATCCCTCTATCCACATGGTTTACATTAATTTACAACATAATGATCTCCCAGCTTTATCAATTTGAAGTTGTTTGCATGGTACTTTTGATATTTTCCCCTTAATTGGCTTGGATGTCTTCTTTTAGTTTCTTGACCAGATCTGTCTCCTCTCTTTCACATACCTAAGTTTATTTTCCCTTGAGTTTCCACGTACTTTAAAGATAGGATCTCATTGTTAGTTGACTCCTCATTAGAGACTGCACCACCATTAATAACCAGGCTGTTTATGTGATTATATTTTCGATGTGCATCTGCCATTTTCTGGAAAAACTTTGTATTATCGTCACCCTGCTCAAACCAATTGCTTCTTAATTTTTGCCTCCAAAATCTGTCCTCGAGTTCAGAAGATCCTCCTTTCCTATTTAACTATATCTAATTTATGGGCCAATTTTGGGCCCGCTCTCCTTATTATACGGGATGAATTTGTCGAGTACTTTTTGTCTGTATTGCATTAGTTCCTTCATTTATATTGTACTGTTTCTTAAAAAAGTCATTTTAATGTTGTCGAATTTGATTGTGGAAACTTGAACCATGAGAGTGTTTTTCCTAATTGATCTGAATTAGATGCCTAATTTATATGTATTTTATCTATAATATTATTTCTACCTCGAACTTTCAATCCTTCTTTTTCTATAAGGAGCTTTATGGTGCTACTAGTGTTTCTCATGTAATATTTTGTCAGCACAATGACATATTTTACTGCTTTCAGCTATGTGATACCGAAATATAGCTATGTAAAAATGTTTATTGATGCTCTTATAGGTGGATGATACTTTTGGCTCACCTGTAGAAATGGCCAAGTCATATATGAAGGTTCGTCCACCGTGGGCGTCCCCTGCTGTTGATAATAGTGGACTTAGAACCCCCTCACAAATGAAGGCAAAGCTTTTTGACGAAGAAGCTCCATATTCTGTCAGTGGTGATTCTCTGTCTTCCTTGAAGGTATTGAAAATTTCAATTTTGCTTTTATTACAGCCTGTTCACTTTCATTTCAAACCTTTGAGGATGTACACTCCTATTTTGTCGAACGGTGGTTGAACCTTAGTTTTCTAAGATTATACAACAATGTCTACAATTAGCACTAGAAGCTTTGATGATTCAGAGTACCAAAAGTTGGTAGTTTTCAGATAGAAAAAACTTATTTAGCAAAGTAATAAATTGGAGACCAGGCTACTTTCTTGCTAAAAAAAGTCCAAAAAGGGAAGACAGAGAAGAAAGGTTGCCTAGATGCATATCAGCTTGTCTTTCTTGCTATCTCAAACTTAATCTTGATTGTGCCCACACTGTGTTTCAATCAAACGAATGTGCTTCTTGACTTTGCTTAACAGGTGTGCTTAAACTACAAAAGATACTTGCCAAAGAATGTTGCTTTGAGAAATAAAAGCACGAGAAAAATATTATCGAGAATGCTTTTACTACTATTTTTTTAGAACTCTATTTATACCTATATTTACATAATATATTATATATATTTTCCAATATACATGAACTATCTACATTGCAAAAGTTTCAAACTGACGAGATGATGAAAATTACAAAGCAGCCATGCACATGTTGATCTTTGGAATTTGATATGTACAATTGGGTTGTTGGATATTTATGAAGGGATCTTATTGCCTTGCAATGGTTTGATAAATTTATAACTTTTGAAAGAATTAAGCTCTTGGACTTGGATCTACTTATGAGAAGTCGTTTACATTAGATCAAATTGTTATCAATCAAATATTAAAGAGCACTGCCAAGGTTACACCGTTACAAACTAAGGTTGTAAACTAAAGAAATGAAATAAATTCTAAAGCAGCCATGCACGAGTTCATCCATGTAGTTCGATATGTGCATGTGGTTTAGAGGACATTGATATGGGATCTACTGACTTGCATCCAGTTGATAAACTTAGAACTGTGCAAGAAACAAGCTGGTTGATGCTTTGACTTAAGATCTACCCTTATAGCAACTTATTAACTTGAAATGTTATCATTCTAATAATAAAAAAGGGTTAGTTGTTGTGAAATTTATTACTCTCAACTTGATTAGTGCAACTTCATAACAGAGACTTGATATATCGAACAGTTTACCAAGTGACTAGTCCTTATCTTTGCATGTTTGGTTGTTCCATCACTAGTCTCACTTTTGGTGCATATGTGTTATTTTAATTTTCTAAATAGGTAGAATACTTCTGTTTACTCCTCTTGGCAATTCCTCAGAATACTGAATTAAATATTATGTCATGTTTCATTTATCAAAAAAATAAAAATAAAAATAATAATAATAATGTTTCATATGTGTGTGTGTCATGTTTCAAGCTGTACCTTTGATCACACTTCATCATTTTAGTGATTTGAAGGAGCTCTGTATTCTTAAACTTAGTTAGGCATTTCATGTCAAAGATGATGAACAGCTACTTAGTAGTACTAAATCCATTTACTTTATCAATTTTCTGTTCTTTGCTGTCTTCTGATATATGCTTTTCTGCTGGATCACAGAAAAAAAGTTCTTATGCATCTGGGTCATGGAATATTCATGAGGAAATACGAAAAGTCCGGTCAAAAGCAACAGAAGATATGTTACGTGCCCACCCTTCCAAGGAAACTGACTATCAATTACGTTTGGTAGAACGCAAAGCAGAACCAAAATCTGCAGTTGGTGATTTAACAGGAACCAGTACCGCGGAGAAGATAAATGACTCAAGTTCTTTGAGACTTGCTAAACTGTCAGATGTACCCATTAAGTGGTCAGGTGTGTTGTGCTCTAATCTGGCCTCTTAGACTGGTCTTATGGTGTTGTCTTGGTTTAATTTGTCTTCTGCTGTAAATTGCTAGTTTTCTGTAGAAACCTCATTTTTTCTCTTTCAGATGTGGAAATAACACAAGATGGTGGAGAAACTGAGAATGGGCCTTTAAATGCTGCCTCTTCTATTCAGCTGCGAGATCAGGTAACCGTTTGTTTTAGGGATTTCAGTACTTTATTCATCATTTGGCACATTTGGACTAAAAAAGATTGCATTTCAATATCTTTTATCTGGAATGTTCGGTTTCAAAACCAAAAAAAGATAGCATTTCAATATGGACAATAAGATGTTGAGTTTACTTATGTACTTTTTTTTGAGAAATAACTTATGTACGTCTGTCCTCATACTGTTCAAACTTACAGGCAGTTCAGGTTGGTGAGCAGGCTTCTCGTGAATCTTACATGCATACTGGTTCAGTTTTCCCCTCTGAGCACAATGATGGTACTTGACGCCATTTTTAAAGATTTTTTCTGTTTGTTTTATGTTGTGAAGCTAATTTGCAGTAATGGGTTCAGAATTAAACTTATTACTACTTACCAATACACAAATATATGAAGTTGGCCGAGTGACATGTAATTCATATTTGATCATCTGGACAAGTCAAAATTGTTGCCTTCTATTACCTGGTCAGATAGGAGTTGAAAGTTGGCTTACTAGGTATGTGGGTTTATCTTTTAAATGGTCTGATAGAGACGTAAACAAAGATGGAGGCATTTGATACTTCCCTAGTGTCTTCGAAGGTGGAAGTTGGTTTTTTGGCTACCTATCTCCTAAGCAGTTCTCATGTCAGGCCAATGGTGGATATAAATCAGGGACCACAAATCACAGCCATGATAGTGACAATATTAGTCTGTTGATTGGGGGAGCAAGGAGGATATGTGAGAGAGAACCATGGTGACTGCAACGATGTAACCAATGGCAGGCCTAGAATGGTCAGGATGGCACATGGAGGAATACAAATTTGAATTCATCCTATATCTTGTAGTTCTGACTTATGGGTGTAAAGGAACTAGATGCAAACCAGGAAAACTTGTGACCAATGTGGTGTAATGGATTCTGATATCTGGTTTAGTTTAGAGCTATTTTGAATCCTAGTGCTCGACAAGTTGGTAATTTTGTGACGCTTTGTAAACTTGACAAGCAAATCCAGCTCTTAGTTTGAACCCTGCATTGATCGTCAAGTTTACAAAGCTGCTTGACTGACAGGCTCCACTAGCATTTGGCTACCATTACTGGTGGATGATCTAGGCTGAGTCTACAGATGTTTAGCACTTCTCACATAGTGGAACTATAGTTCTAGATTTAATATATCTTCTTGTAAAACATGTGCGTCCAATACTAAAATAGCTTGTGTATCATGTGCAAGACTAGTAATGAGTCTCAATTCACATTTGTTCCTCTGTTGCTCTTTCTTGTGATTATGGCGGCGTGTATAGTTGGTTAATTATGTCCTAAAATATGCAAGTGACTTTTGTTATATGCTGTTTTCTCTGTCTCTCTTTTTTCCTTATGATCTGCGAGGAAGTTAACTGCTGATCTCTTTTTCTCCATTATGGCCAATTTAATTTCTCTTATATTTATCCATTTTTACAAGTCCAGGTCTTCATATAACTGCCTCTGACGCACATGAAGTGACTCGACTGAATTTAGCCCCAAGTTCTAATGGCTATTCATCATTAGAAGCTAGGTAAAAGATTGAATGATAAAGCTCTTTAATTTTTCTAGAGCTCGAATCTCAATAATGCTGGTTTTTCCCCTCGATAGTTTGTCTGCAGGTCAAAGTAGAGGAAAAAACGACTCACACATTGGTGGTGAGAAGCCAAAACCAGGAACGTCAAGTCAGGACAAGTCGACTAAATCTCACCAAGTGGCGGATAAGTGTGAGTTTCTTAGCGAATCTGCTGTGGATGTACCAGACATGAATGAAACAATAGAGAGTCCTGCTGCTTCCATTCCTAGTGAAGATTTGTCGCAGGAGGGACCAGTTTTGGCAAAGAACGGGAAAGTTGTGAAGCAACAAGGAAAGAGACCGGTGAGAAATGTTCGAAAGACCACCAGAGCAAAGAGGTAAGTGATGATATATGTAGACCAGGCAGTCTGTAGACCTGAAATTGTTGTATATTAGCTTTACTTCAAGAAGAAATTTAAGCTATTGTAGGAGGATCCTTGATTCATCTTTCCCTTCTTTTTTTCGAAAGACCACGTTGTGTAGTATTTATTCGTAAGTTCATGTAGGAGACTTCACCACTCTCTATCTCATTATAACTTTGAGGTTTTTAAACCTTTTGGCCTTATTTATTTATTTTTCTGGGTTGGGGGTGTGTGGTTACCAAACATTCATACATAAGAGGCATGTTTATGTATTATGCCTTTCGAAAACTATACACACTAATAGATATTATAACACTCGTAGGAAATATTGCAAGATAATCCATAGGGAAGAGACTAAATATGGTATATTTTTAGGGAGGTTTCGAATAACATTGCTTTTCCTGCCAATCCCAGAGTGCATAGCATCCACACCACATCTATTCATGGCCTTCAACACCTTCATTTTAACGTTGTGCTCCCTCGATTACACAGTTGCTAGACCCATGCTTCGCTACCTGAGGTAAGAAAACGAATGTTGGCTCAAACGACTAAATATTAGTTGCCATTGTGTGCCATGTAACGAGTCAAATATGTACCTTGAAGCTAAACCAGAGCTTATAGCTGTATCATTAGTACGCGTAGGCCTTGGTTTCTGGCGATAATATCTCAAAAACTCTCTTGAACCGATTGATTTAACAGACAATTGATCATCGGTTCTTGTAGTTATTATGAGTTCAGATCCACCACTTCCTAGTTCTACATTGTTGTTAAAATCTTCAGATGAAACAACCTGCTTTCCAGTTGCATCCACATAGCTAGAATATGAAGAAAAAAAATTGCAGATCTTGAGTAAAGGATAACAACAAAAATTTTACCTGCGTGATGATGTTCTTAACCATCTGCAGTTCAAACTTTAATAAAGTTCCCATTGGGAACAACCTCTCCATCTCTACGAGGTAGGGATAAGGTCTGTGTACATTCTACCCTCTCCAGAGTCCAGGCATCACATGTGAGATTACATTGGATATGTTGTTGTTCAAACTTAAAAAATATAGGTTGCATCTATCTTCTGCTCAAATGTACATTAGAAGCTATCAAATCACCAAGCATACCTGCTTCTATAGTCGTAAAACTCTTCTAATTCCGCCTCTTCATCATCACCACCATCACCATAATGCACCTTGCAATGATTTTTTGCATCCATATGCTTCCGAACTGCTTCCAAACTACTAAAAGGACGACATCTATCGTTGCAATACAGACACATATAATCCCTTCTAACCTGAGGACGCAAGGAGCAATTTTTACTGTGTTATCTAAATGGACTTGAAGATCATACAAGAAAAACGAAACCTAGAGTATTACCTTGAGACCAAGGTAGGTGAGGAAGCCTTTAGGATCCTTCAAATACTCGATATCAGGTATGAAGAACCCGTGCTTCTTGTGCATATGGACCGCACAGTTTTCTACTGTATCGTGTTCCAAATCACACATGAAACAACAACGCGGATCCAACTCATCAACATCGCTACCTTCATCATCCATAACACCATTACTAGTACTACTTCCATTCATCTTTAGTTGCCTCAACGAGTCATTGTCTTCACACGCGATCTCTTCCTCTTGATCAACCTCCTCCCACTCGCTCTCATCCCTTCCACTAATAACGCTATTATCATCGTGATGATGACCTGTCTCTTGCGAAGCTCGTGCTAAGTGAGTTTTAGATTTCAGATGTTGAGCATGAGCTTTAAAGCTTCTATATTCTTTGCCACAATGTACACAACTATATAGCAATGGAGTTTCTTCTGCAAGTGCAGACTGTCTGGCTATAAAGAGTGCCTCTGTCAATCCAGGAACTCCAGCAACCTGAAATAAATACCAAAGAAACAGAACAATGAACTCTAATCCATTCCACAATCATGTAGCACTTAGTTTAAGTTTGACTGGAAATTTGCGCGTGGAATCTTCAAAATGAAATTTATATATTTGTAAACTACATAAAAAGTACTATAAGTCACAATAATTAGCAATTAAAAATAACTAAAAGATAGGAGTATATAAAAAATCCACGGTCAAAGATAGACCTGTTTGAATCTCGAAACCCAATGGGACGGAGGGAGTAATGTTTATGCAATAAAATTCATTTTTACTTTCCAAAAACACAAAAAAGGGTAAATTTAGCAGTTTACCTTGCGTTTAAGATTATAAGTGTGCCATTCTGATTTGTAATGAATTTTTTGCTCATTTTCGTCAAAAAATTCCTTATTACAACAGTTACAAATTAAACTCCTCATTTTTCTTCTTTTTCTTCTTCTTTGTTTGATTCAAAATTGGGTCTGTAGGTTTCTGTATATATAAAGGCAGCAGATTAAGGGCTTGTTTGGCGGCAAAGTCAAAGAAATATATGTTTTGACCAAATGCTGTCACAAGCACAGACGTAAGCAAATTTGAAAAATACTTGGGACTCAAGGAATACTTGGAGCTCAAGGATGACTAATTTGATACTCCCTTCGTCTCGTTTTATACGAGTTAATTTGACTTAGATACTGAGTTTAAAAAAGAAAGAAAGATTTTTAAATTCATGATCGAAAATGAGTGATAAATGTTTGTGTGGTTATAAATCATTTCATTAAGAATAAAATTAATATTTTAAGACAGACTAAAAAGGAAAATGAGTTGGATAAAGTGCAACATAGGGAATAACTAATTTTAGGATTATGTTTGGTTGATAAAATAAAATAAAATTTAAATTATCTTCAAATGAAAAGGTATTATTCATTTTAAAATGGACTAACAAATATCTTTTATTTCAATGGCCCATAAAGTGGAATAAAGGGGTATTAATTCTTATTAGTGTTATGGTTCTCAATTACTTGTGAAAGTTGTAACAAACATACATTTTCATCAATAAAGTTTTGCTATATTTAATTGAAAGAGAACCACAAACAAACCACTTAAAGGGGAAAAAATGCAAAAATAGAAGTAAACAAAAGTAACCATTAGAAGAAAGTTTAATTTTTAGTACTTTTGGTTGGATTGCCTACTTTAGATATATGAAAATTGATACTCCATCAACCTATTTGGACCAAAATGATCACCATTTCAAATGATGTTAGAGGGAACCCACATCCTTCCAACAACTCCGGTTAACTTCATCATTAACCAAAGGTCTCAAGTTCGCCCCTACTGAATACAAAATCACCTTTGTTTAGTGAATCCAAATTTAGTCAGGCCTCAATGTAGGTACCAGAATGCGGATAGAGTAGCATAACAAAATCCGGAAGTTGAGATAGATATGACAACACCAGTAAGTAAATTCCAGAACACTTTTTATAAGGATTTTTGAAGGAAATAAATATCAATGTTCATCAGCTATCACCACAAAGCCTGCATTGGCATGGGTTTATTGGTTTGATGTGACAAGAACTGTATATATATACAAAAGCAAAGAATTCAAAAAATGAACATAAACACCCCCACCCCACCCTTCAACTTGATGAATTTGTACATTAGGGAAACAAATTGAGCTTAAGATGGAGCTGCTGAAGCTTTGCATATAGGACACCAATTCTTGAGACTCAACCAATGTTTTACACACACCACATGATACCCATGATCACATTCCAACCTTCCTATTTCATCTCCAATCACATACTCCTCCTGCGAAAAACACGTCATTTACTTAATTGAGTCACAACTTTGAATTCATTTTGGTATGCAACATCCTAGATGCATGAAGTGGCGGAGACACCTTCCTACAGTGGGTGTTATCCGACACCTTTTTTCATAACGAAATGATGTTATAGAGAAGCATAGGATACATGAAGAAACGGTTCTAAAGATAACTTGATAGTAATAGTGAAATGTTGTTATTACTATTATAAAGAGGTCCCAACTATGTGAGTGTGCGCGCATGCATATTATAAAATATATTTTAGGAAACAATAAATATTATATAATAGACCGTCACTGGGTGAAACTATCATCAATTGAGGACAAGTAAAGCAATAGAACCTCTACAGCCTAGAACCAAACATACATGTCGAGTAGTGATTATACGCTAACACCACATGTACAAAGTATGGTCGCTAGATGCATGGAACTATGTCTAGAATGGGATAGACTTGTCTATATTATGCAAAAACAGAACTAAATCTAGTGACATTCACTCAAATTACGGCTCTAATTATTAGGTCAGGAATTTTTCTACTCCACCGTGTTCAAGAAGAGAGTTTAACAAGGCATAAACCTAGAGAACTCTACTAAATAAAAGTTAGCTAATTGATGACTAAAACATCTTAGGATGTACAACATAAAACTAATGTAGTGTTAACTGCACTTCAAGTAATATTGCATCAGAAAATAAAAACAAAGTGACGAAGCAAGGTGCTACCTACTTAGATTTAAGTACAACACATCAGGGACATTGGAATATACAAAATATTGCTTGAAGTGGGAAAAACCTGACAAATAGTGCATTTGACCTCATCTTCATTCTCGTCGCTTCCAAATTCCCCTATTTCTGAAGGCATAGCCTGATAAATGCTTTTCTGGATGCACTTTGACAATGCCTCCTCTGACAGAGCAGTGCTAACACTCCCCATCCTCTCCTCGAGAGCTAATAATTCCTGTTAACAGGCAAAAGATTAAGTTCGGCAGGGAGTAAATGGTATAACTAACGGTGGGAACTTATCTTTTGTGTGACAGTGATCTTTAAGCTATTGGATGAACCTCAACCCACTACCCTCATAAAAAAAACCTCGACATTTTGATGAAAATAAAGTTTGGATGAACATGGTCAGTAATCATATACTGAAGAGAATAAAGACCTCATAGGACATATTGTCTATATCCAGCCTCATTCCTCTATGCTGGTCGTAGAAGTTGAGGCCACCGAGAAACAAGTTGGTCTCCAACACAAGTAGTTGCTGTACATGGAAAATAAGAGTTCATCATAAATACACATAGGAAACGCCTGAGTGGTACGAAATACTCAAAGGTGGACTACCTCATATGTTAATTCTTCATCTTGTTCCATTCTTTCAAGTGCCACTAATACCTGTACAGAAAAGCAGCGATCAAAGTGAAATACCGTAAAACCTGAGACAGAAAAACAGTGACTGAGATTCTGTTGGGTAAAATACCTGAGCAACTCCATCCATGTTATATCGCTGCAAGGCATCACGGTTCATTAATTGGTTTATACCTAGTTGTGCAGAAGTTCCAGACACTCCAGCTGGGAGATCTTCAGCATCATTTCCAGGAAAACTAAAAGCACTTGAATCACTCGAAGAGGCATCTGAGAAAAATTGACTTGATGACTGCAGACTGAAATTTGGAGATTCAGGCTGAGGTGAATTCTGGAAAAAGCCAGATGACGAATCTCGTACTGAATCTCTAAGCCTAGGCACATTCATTGACCTGCGAGTCCTAACTGATACAGCACGACTATCCTCCCTAATATCAAAGTTTTTACTACTCCTTGAATCAGAAATTGAGATACCACGAGTTGGACGAATGACATCTCCTCCTTTTGGTAATGCCCCACTTACTTTCTTCCCTTTAGAGGATGAAGTGCTTTCACCATCTGAATTTCTTCTTTTTACCATGTCCCTTCTACTAAATCTTGAATCAGCTGTTGAACAACTTTGTGGAGAGATATCTGATCGTGAGTTGCATTTTAGATTTGTCGGCACATATCCAGCCCCACTAGCAGTGCCCCTGGTCCCTGCACCAATGGCCTTAGACGACGAAGAAACAGACGAACCTACTGGACTATTTTGATTGGAATACTTGGGAGTAAATAATCTACGAGGTTTACTGCTTGAAGCTCCACTAGAGCAACCTACTTCTTTTAATGTAATTTTACTTGATCCAGTATCTTGAATTACTGAATTGAATTGGGGTTGATGCGCTTTTGATGACTTCATGTGTTCCGAAGCTTCAGGTTCACCATGTGAACAAGTCGTTTCTGATTGATCATTTCCAACATGAGAATTTGTTTTCCTGTCCTTCAGTGATTTTCTCGCATTAGCCATCACAGAGGGTGTCCTACATGAACTTCCAACAACTTCTTTTCCATTTGAAGAAGTGAAAGAAGGCCTGAGAGGTCTTGGTTTCTCTGTACTTCTAACTTGCGGGCTCTTCATAGAGTTGTGCCGGCTGCTGCATCCATATCGAGAGCACAACTGAACATTTTCATCCCTGCTGTCAGCTATGTCCGTCAAACCTCTTCTGGGAACGTAAAGGCCATTAACAGCTCTTTTGCTTGAATATTCATCCATAGATTACATACAACCTCTTAGTTCTGTCATGTCAAAACCAAATAGCATAATGTTACTACTAGTTAGACCTTAAAATCACGAAGTCAAAGACTTGCTTTTTAGCAAATGAGGACAGGACTACCATAAAAAAATTCAATTATCACAGCAATCAACAAGTTTCAAGAAGAACGATCAACTATATTGCAATTGAGAAGAAACCTCAATTTTACCACTCTGAAATTCACTTTCAAGGTGATGAATATAAGGAAAACCTCAAGCAAAATTAAAGTCACAAACTCATAGTGATAGATGATGAGAATTTTCTCTAACCCCTATCATCAAAACTCAGTTTTCCTACAAGAAACTGAGAATCTTTCGATGGGAACAACAAAAGTAATACTATTACGAAGACAAGCTGTATCAGAAAAGGCAACTCGTAATCACATCATTTGCAAGTTAATCAACTATCAACAATGTAGCATGTGTCTAGGAGATCATAACCCGATGCATTCATTATTGTGATGATTGTCATAATTTACTACATTTGGTGCAATTCTTCCCCTTTAACCGAAATTGCAACCTTACGAAACTCACATAGGCAGCAAGTAAACCTCAATATTAGTAAAAATTTCTCACATAACTCTGAATATCACAGATACAAATCTATGAATATATGCCTTAAGTTGAACAGATGATTTGCCAATAAATAAAATCGTAAAAGATGGCTAATGGTATCACAGCTACCCAACAGTGAGCACCACTTGTCTTTCATCAATTCCTTGTAATATATTTGAAGAATCATCCAGAAATCAGAAACCAACTAAAGGAAAAACTCCAAGAGTTTTACAAACCAAACAAAAGGGGAAAGAAAACGGAGGGAAGTAATATAATCATAAGGGTGACACCAGTTATGAATTCAAAGATAGAGCCTTTACAGAATTCAAACAAAGCTATTCAGAAAAACAAAGTAGACACCAAAATTTTCATCTTAGTCACATAAATAGTCAAGAAAATAATTTTAAAATAAAATAGAGAATCCCAATAAAATTGAGCATAACAAGAATAATCCAGTCAAAA